CGGTAGGCGCGCTGGCGCTATGTGCGCTGGCGCCGTGCTCGCCGGCGCTAGGCGAGCTGCCACCGTGCTCACCGGCACTAGGCGCGCTTCCGCAACGCTCGTTGCCGCTAGGCGCGCTGCTGCCGCGCTCGCCGCCGCTAGGCACGCTGGCGCCGCGTTCGCCAGCGCTAGGCGCGGCAGGCGCGCTGGCGGCATTGTGTTCGCTGGCACTAGGCGCGCTAGCGGTGCTCTCACTAGGCGCGCTGGCGTCCCTGCCCTCCTTGGCGCTCTGCCGCTGTGACGCCCTGCTCGCTTACACAGAGTGTGCTGGCGCCAGACACGGTGGGATCCTGGGGGCAGCCGCAAGCTGCCATGGCGGTACGCTCACTGGCTAGGTGGATGGTGGCGTGCCCAGCGCCATGCTTCCTTGGTGGTCGGTGCTGAGTGATAGAAAATTTCCCCTTGTTCCTTGCCGGGTTTCTGGCTATGGTGCCCAATTAAAGGACACTGCGTCCCCCTTCTGGCAGTTGAGTCTTTGGCAGGTGAGTCTCTCGCTTGTGGTTTGATTGGGTATGAGCAGGTGGTGTGACAAACTATTCCCGGTAAGCAGCTTCACATTCATTGCAATTGCTTCTATTTCTTTTCTTGTCTCCTCGCCCTCCGCTTCCCTTCGCATCGCCTGTCGTTGTTTTCACCCTTCCTATAGCAGCTGCACCCTAGCAGCAAACTAGTAGTAGTAACAGCACGTAGCAGTACCTAGCAGCACATGGCAGCACCTGGCAGCACCTGGCAGCTACACTAGCTGCTACACGTAGCAGCAACGCCTAGTACTAATGGCATTATTACTAGCAACAGCGCCTAGTATAATTAACAGCAGCGCCTAGTATTGTTAACAGCAGCGCGACAGAGCCTTGTATTATATTATTAATACTAGCACCTGGTGCTACTAATAGCAACGCCTAGTACTACTAATAGCAGCACCTAGTATTACCAATAGCAGCATTTAACACTAGTAGCAGCCCCTAGTAATAGCACCAGCGCCTAACACCAGTAGCACTACCTAGCAACACCTGGCAGCACCTAGTAGCACCTGGCAGCTACACCTACAACCTAGCAGTAGCGCCTAGTACTATTAGCAGTATTACTATCAACAGTGCCTAGTATTACTAACGGCAATGCATAGTACTATATTACTAATAGCAGCACCTAGTATTACTAATAGCATCGCCTAGTATTACTAATAGCAGCGCCTAACACTAGTAGCAGCCCCTAATAACAGCACTAGTGCCTAATACCAGTGGCAACGCCTAGCAGCTACACCTAGCTTCTATGGCACAGCACCAGCACCTAGTAGATGGTGCTTACCAGTAGCATTTAATAGTAGCATCCAGCACCTGCGTCTAGCAGTTAAACGCCTAATTGTCCGCAACTGTCACAAGTTTGGAAGTCATTCTCGAATGGGGTTGTCTCTGACTTCATATTCATTGCATGTTTTCTTCTTCCAACATTTGTTTCTTTTGCGAATTTTCCACATTAAGCAGCTCTTCGCTCTTCTTATTTGTAAGCGAATACGTTCTCGCATCGTGCACTTTATCGCGTTACCCTTCCTATTTCCCCCTTTCACTTGTTTTTCTCCCTTTCTGTTTTTGTTCAAAGTTTGATTAGGTGATTGAACCCTCCCTTTTCCTCCCTCTTTGATTTTATCTCTCTCCTCTTTCCCTTTCGCTTTCCCATGTCTTTACATTTTCTTCTCCTTGAATAGTCTTTTCGTTCTCTTCTCTCTAATCATTTTCGTCCTTTCCTTCTCCTCTTTTCCATGAATAGTATTTTCATTCCTTTGCCATATATCATTCTCACTTCTTTGGCCCTCCTTTCTCCTTGTAACCATTTATGCATTTCCCCCAATCATACTTGTACCATATAGCCTTCATGCTTAGTTTCTTACACTTTTTTACAATTCTCCATTTGAACTTTCTTGTCCAGGCTCTATATTAACAGCTACGTGCACTGTCACATTAGAGAGTGGGAAGGAGGAAGGGGGAGGGGAAGAGGGTGAGCAGGGGTGGGGGGGGGAAGGCACGTATTGGACTTGAAAGGGGAGGGAGGAAAGGAGGTAGGGCAGGAGGGGAGGAGGGAGGAACCGGGTAAACAAGGGTGGGTGGGTGGGTCAATGCGTTAGCTTGGTCAACAATACTTATAAGAACATATATATGTATATATATGTATTTTTTTGGCTAATTTGCTTTGCTGTGCATCGCTTGTGTGCGCTCTGAATGCGTGTGCATCCAACATGTATGATTTATTTTTTCTTCCTGCATGTTTTCGTTGTGTCGGTTTGATTCTGTTACTCTTGTTATTGCATATCACGTAGGGCTTTGTGTGTCATCCGTTTTGTGCAGTCTTGTTCTTAACGAATCTCTATTTGTATTGGAGTGTTGTGTTTGTAAGTGTTGGCTTGAAGCATTGGTTTGGTGTATTGTGTGATTTGTGATTCCTTGTGTGTGTTGGCGCACTCTGTTGCAATTTGTCGGATGCACATGTGTCGTTTTGGTGTGCGTGCATCGGGGCAGGGTGCATATATGGCAAGTTCTACACACAGTTTGAGATTGTCGTTGTCAATTTGCCAGCTTTGCTCCCAAAGTGTACATGTCAATCTTTGTTGTAGCATAGACGCATTCGTGTATCCTCCTTGTTGCATGCATCACTTCCTCGCGGGTGATTCCTCCTGTGTGTTTGCACGCTATCGACGCACTCTGTTGCAATTTGTGCGTGCATCAGGGCAGGGTGCATATATGCCAAGTGCTACACACAGCTTGAGATTGTCGTTGTCAATTTGGCAGGTTTGCTCCCAAAGTGTACATGTCCAATCTCTGCTGCAGCATGGAAGCATTCGTGTATCCTCCTTGTTGCATGCACCACTGCCTGGCGTGCGATTTCTCCTGTTTGTTTGCACGCTATCGATGCACTCTGTTGCAATTTTTCGGGTGCGCATGTATCGTTTTGGTGTGCGCGCATCGGGGCGGGGTGCATATGTGCCAAGTGCTACATACAGCTTGAGATTGTCTTGTAAATTTGACAGCTTTGCTCCCAAAGTGTACATGTCAATCTCTGCTGCAGCATAGAAGCATTCGTGTATCCTCCTTGTTGCATGCATCACTGCCCCGCGTGCGATTCCTCGTGTGTGTTTGCACACTATCGACGCACTCTGTTGCAATTTGTTGGGTGCATATGTGTCGTTTTGGTGTACGTTCATCAGGGCGGGTGCATATATGTCAAGTGCTATACGCAGCTTGAGATTGTCGTTGTCAATTTGGCAGCTGTGCTCCCAAAGTGCACATGTCAATCTCTGTTGCACCATGGAAGCATTCGTGTATCTTCCTTGTTGCATGCATCACTGCCTTGTGTGCGACTCCTCGTGTGAGTTGCCACGTTGTTGGCGCACTCTGTTGCAATTTGTCGGGTGCACATGTGTCGTTTTTGTGTGTGTGTGCCTTGTGTGCGACTCCTCGTGTGAGTTGGCACGTTGTTGGCGCACTCTGTTGCAATTTGTCGGGTGCATATGTGCCAAGCGCTATACGCAACTTCATATTGTCGTTGTCAAATTGACAGCTTTGCTCCCAAAGTGCATATGTCAATCTCTGCTGCAACATGGAAGCATTCATGTATGCTCATTCTTGCATACGTCACTGCCTCTTTGCGATTCCTCTTATGTGTTGGCACGCTGTTCGCGCACTCTGTTGCAATTTGTCGGGTGCACATGTGCTGTTTTGGTGCGCGTGCATCCGGGCGGGATGCATATATGCCAACTGCTACATGCAGCTTGAGATTGTCGTTGTCGACATTGCTCCCAAAGTGTACATGGCAATCTCTGTTGCAGCATGGAAGCATTCGTGTATTCCCTTTTATCAATGCAGCATCATTGCATTCATCATGCTGGCATATTTGGTGTGTTTTGTGCATTTCATGCATATTTTCTATTTTTATTCCTACAGTATGTCAATATTTGTTGTTCAAAACTAATTATGCCACCCTGTTTCTCCATCCGCCGTAATTATCGACGATGGAAATGCAGGTCACATAAATCTTCCTAACAACCTTGTTGAGTTGTTGGCGACTATTACAAAATGCCTCTGTTGCTCGGTATCGAGCGTGTATGTATCTGACTATTCTGCCATCAAATTTGGTGGTGGAATAATTGTGTGCGCAACATACACGCTTGTGGCGACCGATATAGAATGTGGTTTACTACCCCTTGTGCTTTTATAACAGCAGAGTGATGATGAGGCCTAGAGGTATTTGTCAACCATAAAATGAGCTGGTTGGGAAATAAAATGGGCTTTAAAAGAAAGAAAACCATTGATAAAGAAAACTATTATGGTTAAAGGCCGAACGGTTCACCTCACCACATTGAACTCTACATGCAAGGTGCGTAGAACCGTTCGGCCTCTGGTGTACATCCATTCATTTTCCAGTGAGTTGAGTCACTGCATGACGAGGACTTCTTAGCGCTACGGTGGAATGGGCATTCAAACGCACACCCAACTTGGCTCACCCCTGTTCCAGAGCACCTCACGTTCATGCGTCGACCGCCCTCGCTAAGATCGCACGGGTCGTTCAGCCTCCACCAAGCTCGCCTGCACGACGTCCTGGCGACCAAATGCGACCACTCACGACCGCGTTAGAGTACCACATCTCAAGTGTGCTCGGTTTGCGACTCGCCTCGCGCTGCGAGCCGCCAACCGAGGCCCAATGATGAAGGCGTTGCTGCCAGACGAGACGTTTTGCTTTCAGATGCCCCGTGTAGATCATAGCCAATCACAAGTAGCCTTGAGATCACGAAAGTTTTCTTGGGGCGCAGCACCATCGCATCTGGCCTGATACCGTAGTCGCTGACCAGCAAATGGAACTCTCTATAGCCCCTCACGGCTTTCGTATGCGACCAGAATGCCCTGGGCTTACTTATGACGATTCTGTCGCACAAGCTAGGAGGCTAGGTTTTGGCGGCTAGCTTGATACGCAGTAATTCTTGGCGACTCTTCTGTGCGAACCCTACGACCGATGGAGAGCAAGGAACGAAACCAAACTCTGCCCAGAGCTCGCAAAGGAAGCAGGAGGAGCTGTGTGCCCGGCGATCAAGAAGCAAAGGTTGCGACTTGGAGCTCATAGCTCGCCGAAACGGAATCGCAGGGAGTAGTTCATCCTGGTTCTGCCCATCGCCAGACCCTTACCCATCTTCTTTTCATTTTAAGCCAGACCCAACCAAAGTTTGCTAGGTTCGCCATGCGAAGCTTGGTTCGTCGCAGGCTCTACACACGTTGACGGGAGGCGTCAGTTCCGTCGTCAGACATCATAGCTGCAGTTTGAGCGGCAAACACTTTCAGGAGGGCGGTGTGGAGGAAGCGGGTTGGTGGATACGCTCCACATGTCCCTAGGCCAGGCGGAGGAGCAAGGAACAGAGCCTCTGCGGCAGAGGTTGGGCTAGGCGCGTCAGCAGCTTCGGCAGCGTCGCCAACAGGGAGCTTCCAGATCGGGGAGCTTCCAGAGCCTCGGGAACGTCGCGAGCCATCGCCGGAATCACCGAGGCTACGGGAACATCCCCTCACCTCCCATTGGCAGCAGCCATACATGATGCTGACGACTGCTCTGACCGCCATAGCCACCGTCATTTCCACTCTCCCCGTCATTCGCCGCAAGCTCGCAGTTTACTTCGCAACTTTCCTCCTGCTGCTAGGCCTTCTCCACCAGCTGACCAGCTCGCTCGGCGCGGGCTGGCTGCACGTGGTGTGGAATGGCATGCTAGCACCCACTTATCTCGCCACCGAGGTTGCCGGCCCGCTTGGTGCGCCGTCGATTGCGCAAGTGGTTATTTCGCTCGTTCTCTCGATCGTGTTGAGTGCCGGCGCTCCGACATCGGGGCTGATTCCTGAGATTTCGTTGAACTTTGTCACCCCCGTTCTGTTGTATCTGTCGTACTCTGCGCCGACGCTCGTCGCTGCGGCGACAGCGGCCGTCGCAACTGTCGCAACCGACGCGATCGGCTCGGATTACGGCGAGTCGTTGAAAAGCCGTGCGACTGCTAACCAGCAGCAGCAGCAGCAGCAGCAGCAGCAGCAGCAGCAGCAGCAGCAGCAGCAGCAGCAGCAGCAGCAGCAGCAGCAGCAGCAGCAGGCAGCAGATCCAATGGCTAAGGCGCGAGCATCGCCGCCGTGCTTGCCGCTCTTCTGCACTCCCTCCTCCGCTACCTCTTCCTCCTCTTCCTCTTCCTCTTCTAGCCAGGAGAAAGCCAGCCTTCTCGACACTAAGAATGCAAACCCGAACCAGAAGCCTCTCGTGATCATCCATTACCCCTGCAATCGTAGCACCGACGGAGCTGCTAACAGCACAGCCGCAGAGCTTCCGCTACAGGTTGACGGCTCCGTCAAATTTCCCGTCCAGGGACGCGGGGAACCGACTGGTTTCGTCAAGGTCGACACTTTTCCGTCAGTTCCGTCCGTGACGCCGTTTTCCCTCGACGGTGGCGCCTCCGCATCCTGGCGGGGTGTGGACGGGACGATAAGGGGAGCGCGATCCGCGGGGAACTGGGTGGAATCGGCGGCTTGCGCGGGGGCGGAAGGGGACGGGCGGACGGCGGTGGTGCTGCTGGGGTGGCTCGGCGCGCAGCAGCGGCACATGCGGCAGTACGCCACGTGGTACAACGCGCGGGGCATCGACGCGATCGGATTCGTCATCCCGTTCACGGATATCTTCAGCGTCAGGGTGAGTGAGATTCTGGCGAGAGTGACTGTAGAGCGGGTGATAGTAACGAGGTGACTGGGAGGCTTGGCGCGCTGCAATGCGCCCAAGTGGCGTCGATGCGATCGGGTTCGTCATCCCGTTCACCGATATCCTCAGGGTCAGGGTGAGTGACGGCGAGTGATTGAGCGGTAGTGATTGTAAGGCGAGTGATTGTACGGTAGTGATTTTAAGGCGAGTGACTGTATGGTAGTGATAGGAAGCGAGCAATGCGGAGTGCTTGGGGATCGGGCTTGCCGTGCCGAGAAGGTGGAACCTGGCGGAAGTTATCCTCATTTGAAGCCTCTTCGCTTCTGTCACCCTTGCAGCTCGGCGAGAAGGCGCAGGTGCACGTGGACGATCTGGCCGTCTACTCCAAGAGGTTACCCTGATTTTCGCCCATCGCTTCCATTTTTCGCTTCCGCTTTTTTGTTTTTGTTTGTTGTTGTTGTTGTTTTTTTTTTTTTTTTCCCTTTCGCAGCTCGGCGAGAAGGCGGAGCTGCACGTGACGATCTGGTCGCACAGGCGAGATGCTTTTGAGGGCTGATTTTCAAAAGCACTCTGATCGCTTCATCCCTTTCATTTGTATCCCCTCTCAGCTCGGCGAGAAGGCGGAGCTCCACGTCGACGATCTGGTCGCGGAGCTCGAGCGATGGCTCCTCGCGGGCGCAAATCGCGGCGGGATGCACGGCGGACTAGGCGGCGCGCTTGGCGGCGGCGGGCGGCGCACGCTGCTGTTTCACACGTTCAGCAACACGGGGTGGATCGCGTACGGCGCGGCGCTGCTGCGGCTGCAGCGCAAGTACGGGAAGGCCGCCATGGATGGGATTATCAAGGGCTGTGTGGTGGACTCCGCACCGATCCTGGAAGAAGACCCCAAGGTGCGTTTGGGCTTATAGCAGGGTTGATAATGGAGGGGATGAATATATAGAGGCGCTGCTGCGACTGCAGCGCAAGTACGGGAAGGCGGGCATGGATGCGATCATCAAGGGGTGCGTCGTGGACTCCGCGCCGATACTGGAAGAAGATCTCAAGGTGAGCTTGATTCCGTAAAGAGGAAGTGAATAAAGGGGAGGACGGTCCGTATGCGAGTTTGCATTCCAAGTGCTGCTGTGACTGCAACAGGAGACGGCCAGGAATGAGTTCATCAAGGGGTGTGACGTGGACTCTGCGCCGATACTGGAAGAAGATCCCAAGGTCAGTCCGGGCTTATAAGCGGGTAGATAATAGAGGGGATAAAGATCCCAAGGCCCTGCTGCGACTGCAGCGCAAGTACAGGAAAGTGGTCGTAGATGGGGTTATACAGGGGTGTGTGGTGGACTCCGTGCCTGTATTTGAAGAAGATTCCAACGTGAGTTTTGAGGGTATGGTTAGGATAATAAAGGGGATGAAGATCCAGGGTGGGGTTAAATCAGCCTTCGCCCCGCACCTCCCCCCCACCCCCCCTCACCCCCACCCCCCACTCTTCCCCCCCCCTCCCCCCCCCCTCCCCCTCCCCCCTGCTGAGCAATGCCAGCTAGAAATAGGGTCCAGTGGTAGATGGCTTTGGAGCAGCGGTTGATCACATGTGCTCCTGATTTCCAACCCACTCATGTGCCTGCATCCCTTGCGATTCTCTCCACCCGCTCTTCCAGCTTACATCCCCTCTCAATCTTCCCCACCTACCCCCCCACTCCTCCTTCCCCTTCCCATCTCCCACCCCTCTTCTCCTTATTCTCACGATTTCAAGGTGTGGGTGCTCGGCTTCTCAGCAGCCATCCTCCAGAAGCGCAGTGCGGCATCGTGCACGGGCTCCCTTGCCATTGACTCCCTTCCCTAACCCCCCTATTCCCCCGCCATACCCACCACCATTTGTTCCCTCAATCATAGGTGTGGGCAAGTGGCTTCTCAGCAGCCATCCTCCAGAAGCGCAGTGCAGCAACTCGCATGGGCTCCCTGGTGATCGACTCTGTAGTTGGATGCTCCCAACTCAAATCCGCCCTGCTGCAAGCCAGCAGCCTTCCTACTCCCTCTGCTAGAGCTGCTGCTGGTGCTGCTGGTGCTGGTGCTGGTGGTGCGGCTACCACCTCTGTAGCATCTGCTGCTGCTAGCGTCTCTGCTCCAGTGCTCACTAGTGTGACTATATCTCGGAGTGACAGTAGCAGCAGCTTTGGCAGCGTGAACCAGGCACAGGAACAGGGAGAGAGGGAGGGGTTGGGGCAGGGGCAGGGGTGCTTGGGTGGTGAAGAAGTGGCGTTTCCTTCACCGGCTCCCTGCGGGTGTAAGGTGGTGTGGTGGCGGGCTGAGGAGGCGGAGAGATTAAAGGCATGCGGTCCTGCAGTGAGAGGAGGGACCAAGTCGTCAGTAGGAGCAACAGCTGCTGCTGCTGCTGCCGTGGCAGCAGCGGCAGGGGGTGTGGTGAGGGGCATGAGGGAAGGGAATGGTGCTGCTGTTTACGGTCGTGGCGTTAATACTGGGTGTGCTTCTGGAGGGGGGACAGAGCAGGAGCAGCAGCAGTGGCTGCTGCAGCAGCAGCTGCTGGCGTTGTACAGGATGCAGATGGAGAGGCAAGAGAGGCGGTTGGTGCTAGGGAAGGAGCTGAGGAGAGAGCACGAGCAGGGCAGCTACTTGCACCTGCAGCATCAGGTGCATCACCAGGGTCAGCAGCAGCTGCAGGGTCACCTACACCTGCAGCAGCAGCAGCAGCAGAGGGGCCGGGGCGGCAGCAGCATATTCCAGGCGTGCAGTCGGCTGGCGGTGGCGGTGGTGAGAGTGGTGAAGGTCCGGCTTGACGCTCTGGAGAGTATGCTCGTGACGGCGCTGTGGCTCATCTTCCAAGTCGCCCTGCGCATTCCCTACGTCAAAGGGTGAGTACATTGGATGCTCATGTCGCAGTGAGTTTTGAGGCGTCTCAGAAGTCGGCTGGCTGTGGTGGTTGTGAGAGTGGTGAAGGCCTGGCTAGAACCCTTTGGAGAGTCTGCTCGTGACGGCGCTGTCGCTTATCTTCCAAGTTGCCCTGCGCATTCCCTACGTCCAGGGGTGCAGTACACCCACTGAGTGGATCCACTCTCAGTCCAATCCTGATTTATGCGACCCCATTTTTCCTTTCCCCTTGTCTTGTCTCAAGAGCAATCTAGTCATCGCCGTACCCAGCTGTCTCTCCTGTCAACCTCTCCCCTCCCTCTCCTATCCTTACTACAAACCCCACCTTCCAGGAAGCTTGCCGAGGTGACAAGCACTCTGCACCACCACCAGCCCAACTGCCCGCAGCTCTATTTCTACAGCGAAGCAGACATTGTAATTCCACTGCCTGCCGTTGAAAAGTTCATTGCTGGGCAGCAGGCCCAGGGCCACCGGGTGATGTCGATGAGATTCGAATGTTCGCCGCATGTGGACCATTTCCGCACGTTCCCTGAGCTCTACACCCAACAGCTTGAGGCGTTTTTGAAAGAGTGCCTGCCGCACCGTTACCACCAGCAAGGTGGTTACCAGCAAGGGTGTGATTGTGAGCAACAGTATGGTTACCAGCACAAAACTGTGGCAGCAGTGCAAGGTGCTACAGTTCTGTGTTAGGAGTTGGGAGCTGAAGGCGAGTCTCAGAGGAAGTGAGACTTCTATGGGTGGAATAACTCCTGCTTTTGTAAGGCTATTGATGCTCTTCCTTGCAAAATCGTGGTAGGCTGTTTAGCATAACTTGTGTAGGAGTTGTGGCCTGCTATGTAGAGGTAGCCTGTTGGTGGGAAGGCATTTTTAGCCAGCAAGTCTCGATGCGGCCATCTAGTCTTAGGCCTTGTCTAACACGTCTTGTGATTTTCAAGATACAAATGCTGGACCTACACATCTGATCATGATACTTGAGGTTGACTCTTGAGGCTGAGCAAGATCATACAAAAGCCTCTAAGGGTCAGTACTTTTGATACCTATTTTATGCGGATTTTATATAGCAGATCCCCACTAAAGCGAATCAACGTTTCTGTTCCAATCTTCCTGCTCTGGAGTGAAAACTCGAACAACCAGCTCTGCAATGGATGCTTCATAGCCTGATTCTGCCGTTGGTTACTCGCGCTTTCGCTTCTCTCTTTTCGCGAAGTGTAAGTCCCGCTAAGCCATTTTCCCCTTTGAAAGCCAGCCAGCCGCTTGTTGCGGGACGACTCGTCGGGTGGAGAAGGGGGCTTGGTAATTTCGGGAGAGCTGAGCCCAGCGACCAGTTTCAGGGCCATTCCTGTTGGTTATAGGCGTGTCTGGTGAGAGGGGAATACGTGTTCGTGATTCTTGTTCTTGTCCGTTGCCTTCTGCGATCGATACGAGATGCAGACGACTTATGAAGGTCTCTCATCCGCGGACCGGAAAATGATCTCTATTCATGTCCCAGAGATTTCATGCATGTATGCTCCTCCGGGCGCTTCCCTTTCCCTCCTGTCCTCCACATGCATACTCTTAAAGCCTGGAGCTGATGGTTGGGATATGGGATTGAAGGTCCACGCTGACTTGCAGACAGCAACCTGAGGTATGCTGTAGTCTGCTATAGGTTCTGCTGTATTTGGTGTGGCGCTCAAGAAACGGACTCCCCAATGCCGTCGTTTGCCGTTCCACATGATTGTGTGGTATGCCGTCTCCATCTGAGTTGTCTGGGTAAACGTCTGACTGTCTGATTTAGCATCTGATTCGTCTAATTCAACGTCTGCCTGTCTGATTTAGCATCTGATTCGTCTAATTCAACGTCTGCCTGTCTGATTTAGCATCTGATTCGTCTAATTCAACGTCTGCCTGTCTGATTTAGCATCTGATTCGTCTAATTCAACGTCTGCCTGTCTGATTTAGCATCTGATTCGTCTAATTCAACGTCTGACTGTCTGATTTGTCTGGCGTCACATCGTAATAGGTATGGTGCCATCTGCTATGACTGGAATGACTGCTGACATCTCAGGTATAACGACGTTTTTGTCTGTTATGACATCTGATGCGTCTGGTATGCCATTTGATGTGTCTGATGGCATGTAATCTTCTCATATGACATGTGATAGGTCGGATGTGGCATTTGATATGTCTGATACCAAGTGGTGTGCAAGTAGGCCTAGCTGGGCATGTTCTCTACAAAGCTCACCACCAAATACACCTTACTTTCGTGGATCCCCCTCCCCTCTTCCCCCGGCCCCACCTCTCTTCCCAATCCCCCCTTCCCACCCCTCTGTTCTCCTCCCCCCCCTGCATCTCCCCCCTCCCATACTGTTCCCCCCCCCCTCCCCATCAGGCTCTTGTGAGAACCCAGCAACTGCAAGCATGGCTGCCAGTAAAGAAGGCTTGCAGGAGTCACTCTCTCAGCCAGGAACCTCTGAGGTAGGAAGGTTCTTGAGAGTAGATGCATGGGGAGTAGGACGTAGTACCTTCAGTGCCTTGTGTAGCAGTTCTTACCACTTTTTTACTAGAAGTGGATGGAGCTTCAATCGGAATTGAACTGGTGAGTTTTGTTGCACTGGGTTCTAACATGCTTGTTGCACTAGCACTGTCAATTATTCATGGACGCACCACGAGCTCTGTGGCCTCCCATTTCTCCATATTCACCCCAACCTTTGGCATGTTCGTCTGCAAGGTCCCTATCTCAAAGTTCTCCCGGCCTCATATCCCTTGCTCCAACATTTAGGCGAGTCTCGCAGCGGCCATATTTTTCCTTCTGCTTTCCTCCCCCTCCTTTCTTCTTGCAGCCCGTGTCTTTCACAGTGTCAGCATCTCTACCAGAAGCTACAGTAACCAATGGGCCCCCGATAGTGCACATGCCAGTTCGGAAACCACAGAGCTTGTCCGTTGGGTTCGCAGTTCCAGAGGAGGAGAAGCAGGGTGCTGCCATGTGGCAGGTAAGGTGGTGCCATGTGGCAGGTAAGGTGGTGCCATGTGGCAGGTACGGTGCCATGCTAACAGGATTTTTCACCTTATCAGGGAATATTCACCCTGGACTGATGCCAGAGCAGTTGGATTGAGATTTCCTGTGTTGAGGCTTACGTGGTTTCATGATAACTCAAGTTTCATTCATCGTTCTCTGGGTGGCCTATGCAGGTTTACGTGTTAGGTGCATATTTGATTGGTACGTGGCTATGGGCGAAGATCAAGGAAAGGGGGCGAGAAAAACCAGGAACTGGGGACGAAGGCATGAGTGGAGCATCAGGCTGATTTGGTGGTTGGTTTCATATTTTTATTCGCCACAATAAGCCGATGCATGATGCTTTGTGAGCCAGCATAATGTAGGTTCTGTGCTGTTAGAACATTGCTGATGCATTCTTATGACACGGAATATGAGACATTACACCACCAGCGTACAAATTGGTTAATTTTTACAAACAATCACCGTCAGGTATATCCTTCCAGCGATTGGGATGCAGCGCAACTGTGCGACAGGCAGTTCCAGTCGGGCTAATTCGGAACAGGCGCAATTGGTTCGTGCGACGGCAAAACTTTCTCCGACAACAACGATTGGCTGGCTCGCAACGTGGTAACATGGTTTCGCAGACGTCCAGCGTGGCATACCTGAGGTGCTCATGGAGAGATTTCCGCATCATCCATCGCTCAGCTCTCTCCCTCCCCTCACCAAAAACTCTGGGTAGCTCTGATGTCAACTACCTCTCATCAATGGCGGATGTTCTCTGAACTCTGACACTTTCCCTGTAGCCTGTTATCAGCTCATGCGTATTCTTATCTTCTCAAAGGAGGACCTTGCCTTGACTACGCCACGGATCTCGCTGAATAGGAACCTGCATTTTTCATCGCGAGGTCCGGAAGAAGCTGATTGGTCGTAGCTCGTGTTAGTTGGCGCTGTAGGGTTTCGGCCATGTATCGCAGGAGCAGAAAGGCATCGAAGGAAGATGATATTGCCAGGCTAACAAAGCAGTTGACAGAGCTTACAGACAGCATGTTTGCTGAGGTGAGGTAGCTTCCATGTCCCGTTGGCCATCGATTTTGACGGCGGCTTGTCCGGGGCGAGCACTCTCCAAGAGGGTTTCCTTGAAAATATGTCCGTCGTCCTGGATTTCATGTTAAAGCTTTGTGTATCTCAAGCGACTGAATGGTTCAGTAAGTCGTTAAAAGGTCGCTTTGAGCAAGTATGACGTTTTTTTCCCTCACCATTTTTTGCTACATCCAGGGTATACTCGATGACCAGTTCACCCAGCTTCAGCAATTGCAAGACGAGAGCAACCCGGAGTTCGTCGGAGAAGTCATTGGCCTATTCTTTGAAGACTCCGTAAAGCTTCTTGACGACCTTACTCAAGAAGTGTGAGTGGAATGCCGTCCTTGCCGATTCAGCATGCGGATGAACTTCGTTAACTCACCCTAAAAGTCCGGATGATCCCGAAATTCTAAAGAAAGCACATCGACGATAAAATCATGTTCTTATGAGACCCGCGTTTGCTCTGCAGAAACGAGGATCCGATTGACTTCAAGAAAGTGGATGCACATGTTCACCAGTTCAAGGGTAGCAGTTCGAGGTATGTCGATTCACAAGCTTTCGCCCAGGTTCCATCTGCGATTGCATGTCGTAATATTGAGATCTGGGTCCATGTGCAGCATTGGAGCACAACGGGTGAAGGCTTTATGCATCAAGATGAGAGGGTACTGCGACGAGGGGAACCGCGCAAAGTATGTACTGTGTGACTTGACGCCGTTTTTAGGTTGTGTGGAAAATGCTGAGATTAATCACGCATAACCATTATTCCATCACACCTTTAACTTGGCGGTGCAGGTGCTTGAGCTCGTTAGACAAGATTAAAGATGAGTTTAATCTCGTGAAGGACAAGCTCGAGCTCATGATGTCGGTAAGTCTTTAAAAAAGTCACCCCCCCCCTTTCGTCCAATACTTCTGGCTTGGGATGCATTTGTTATTGACTTCGTTCCAGCGAGGCTGGCCTTTTCATTGCAGCACTGCGGGCCAGAATGCCACTCCCATTTGTCATGTGGATGAGCATTGTGTTATCGCCTCCACCACATATTGTAGTATAATTGGGATGGGCTGTGGTTTCCACAAGTTGCACAAAATGTGGGCGTAAGGGATGCAAGGATTGCAGGCCGTCCACACAGTTATGTGCCCGTTCCTTGGACGTCCTCGCCTTTTGCTTCACTGATGGCATGCTCATGTCTCATGTTTGTGTCAGTCTGCCCATTGTATGCTCACTACTGGCATACTCTTGCCTCATGGCTGTGTCAACCTATTCTCCTCTCATCCACACCCTCGTCTCTCGTTCTAGACACCCCTTCCCGCCCCCTCTAATACTTCCCGCTCAGCTGCTTGTTTCTTCCTCTTCCCTCATTGTCCCATCATTTACCTTCTGTGTATCATGCATTTCCCCTGTGCTGCTTGTTGCTCATGAATGCCATTTGAGTTCAGCTCTTTATATACGTTCTTGTCCGCATTTCGACAACCCCACCAGTGCATGCGTCCACAATCCATTCCCCACCTGTACTTCCACTGGCTGTCTGCGGAGCCTCCACTGCTGGTCCTACCTCTTGTGGTGCTTCACTCCAGTCACTGCTGTATCTTAAAGTGGTTTTCATCTTTGCTACTTTCATGTACTATGCCCTTGCAGCTGGAGCGCAAGATTTTGGCTAAAGGAGGGAAGTTGCCATCAATGGAGTATTGATCCTGGCGCTTTCGTCCTCAAGATACCGTAGAAATGTACAACCTTAGCTCACAGTCTACACAGCGTACCATGGGATTTCCCATCCGCTATTCCTGTCAATAGGCCATGATGCATGAACAGCTTGGGGAGTGAGAACCATTAGGGCGCTTCACTCAAGCTGAAGGCTTGTCGTACGGGCTGCTTGCTCGTTCTTTGCCTGGGATTCTTCACGTTTGCTGGTAGAATGCATGTACCCAGTTCCATTTGCCATGTGGGGCTGCTAGGGGAGGGGGTGAGTTTTAAGTGCAAAAGCTGTCATCCATTCATGAATAAATAAGTTAGCAGTTGTAGCGTTCACCCGAAGTCCCAATGGGTACAGCACGTTTTTGCAAGGTTGAGAAGATTTCTGTGCGGTCAGAATTGGTGCTTGCCATAATGCTGTTCAGCCCATGGCCTCAGGGCGCATTCAGGGCTCATGTCATTCCAACTTCCGGTCATCATTTGCCAGCATTTCGGAACTTCGGGTCTTCCGAAATGGGGCAAATTATGACCGGAATACTGTTCGGATGGCACGAGCCCCGAATGCGCCCTCAAAAGTCAGGCCCAAAAGGCTTGAAAGCCTGTATATTAGGGTGTTTTCTAGGGCATACCCTGATTTTTCAGGTTTTTATGTTTATCAAACCTGAAATTTACGTGTTCCCTGTTAGAAAGAGCTAACTACCGTAATCCCCCGTATATAACACCCTATGGTGTATATAAAAATTCACTAAAAAATGACTGGGTCGTAACAGTGGCCCGGAAAAATATAGTGCGCATGTGTTATGTAAAATGCAATTTGAATTTGAGTGTTCCTGGCCATGTTAGCTCACAACTGCGCGGAGCGGCTGTTAACGAGGCACATCATCCGCTGAGACGAAACTTACACACCAGGCGTCGTTAGCAGGCCCTGAGCTGAGATATCAACCTTAAAGCCCTAGTTAGCTTAATTTCAATGGCTGTTTTTTCTGTTGTCTATGATTTTCTAGTATTTGCAAACTGCCCATTGAGACTTATTTCTCAACAACAGGTCCCTCAAAAGACCTTGTATCATTTGCACTAGCCAATGCCAAGATATGGCTTGGACCCGAAACCCAAATCAGCCTAAAAAGGCTGATATCTCAGGGCCTGGTCGTTAGCCAATCCCTGCTGAGTGCTGTGGTATAGGTCAGCTTCGTGTCGCACCTGCGGCCATCAAGACCTGAGAGGATTTCGCTCGGGAGGATTTTGACCGTCAAATCACAGCATAATCCGCGACTTCGACGGTTGAAATCCTCCCAAACTCAACCTTCGCTGGCATTTCGATTTCGCGCTGCAACGTGTGTTGATTCATCTGCCCGCTTTTTTTTGCTGTTAATTGTAGTTAACATTGCATTTTTCATCCTGCTTGTTTTTTTCAATTGAGAGGAGCTTGAAAAACGACGGAATACTGTTCTTTGCTACATAAAACGAGCAGGGTGTTATGTAAAATGCAACCCCCGAAAAGCGGGTGCTCTGAAAAATGCACCCTATCATAAGCTCTCCCCCGCATAAATCACGCACGGAGTGACTATTTCGGCGGGTGTTATATACGGGGGATTACGGTAGGTAGCTAGGCGTTAGGAATGTCGAGGGGTTTTAGGTAGGGAGAAAAGTGACGAGAGAAAAGAGGGTTGGACTAGAAGAGAGAGGGATACAAGAAGGGTGTTGTACCATCTATAGTAGGATTCAGTAATTATAGCACACCTACCAAGCCTACATAAATAAATATATAAAATATATAATTTGACATTCCCATTTTCTACAGTCATGCCTGAAAATAGTATGTTCTTGTTTTACTGAGCTTTACGAATCAGCCTTACTCGAAATTCGCTCTGAAATTGAATCTTGTCTGCAAGGCGAGCTAGAGCACGTGTGAGGGGCGTGACTGGTCCTTGACCAGAATTAAGCAAGTTCGAGGCGATCTGGAGCAGGTGTGAGGGGCGTGATTGGTCCTTGACCAGAATCACACACGTTCGAGGCGACCTGGAGCAGGTGTGAGGAGCATGACTAGTCCTTGACCAGAATCACACAAGTTCGAGGCGAGCTGGAGTAGGTGTGAGGGGCGTGACTGGTCCTTGACCAGAGTCACACGAGTTCGAGGCAAGCTGGAGTAGGTGTCAGGGGATTGTGTTGGGAGACCCACTAGGGTTGCCCTTGAGATCCTCGGGGAAGGGCCACAAGTGTAGAGCCTGGGGAGTTATGCGCGCACTTGCCTGCTACTTGACAAGCCCTTTTAATTCAGTGGTTAGTGATTGAGTTTCTAATATGGTATCAGAGCCAAACATCTTGGGTTCAATTCTCAGTGTGTGCACCGGTAGAGGTGACAGTGCATCGGCAGAGGTGCAAGGTCTTCCGCCTATCACAGCGACGGGGGGTGTCGGGAGACCCGCTGGGGTTGCCTTTGAGATCCTCGGGGAAGGGCCATAAGTGCAGAGCCTAGGAGTTTATGGACGCACTTACCCGCTACTTAACAAGCCCTTTTAACTCAGTGGTTAGTTACTGGGTTTCTAACTGTTTGACAGGTAAATCACGCAGGTAGTCTGAGGAGAATTGTATCTAAGAGTAACGAATGGTCTAGAATGTGAAACACTGTGTGGTTTTGTGCTAAGGGGTTGTACTCTCTAAGAGTACGCACTAATCTAGCATACAATAACATATACATATATGTTTAACACACCCCCTAGGCTAGATGAGGGACAGTGCCTGCCAAGAGACGTGCAGCTCAGGGTGGCACTACTAGTCCAACCTCTGAGGCAAGGGTCCGAAGACCAGTCACTAGGAGTACAACCTAAACAAGAGTAACCCAGGGCGGCACTACTAGTCCAGCCACTGGAACAAGAGCCACAAGGCAAGCCAAGATAATATAAAAGGAAGTACACAATCAGGGTCCTAGCAAATGAGAAGCTACAGGAACTAGACCAAGCTGTACAAGGTCCTGCTGATGATCTTTAGGCGCAAGCGCCATAGTAAAGATATCAGTTGTGTTGGCATCGGAGGCCAAGTGTACTACGCGGGCCTGGCGGCGCTGCAGTAGCTCGCGCAGGAGGAAGTACTGCAGCTGGATGTGCTTCGCTCGGCTCTGCAGTCGAGGCTCCTGATATAGGAGGATCATGGCCCTGTTGTCAACGTACAGGACCGGGGCAGAGCTAGGCCACTCATCTAAGTCTGTGAGCAAGAAAGTCAGCCAGCAAAGCTCGTGTGCCGCCATGGCACCAGGATAAATCTCAGCCTCACAGCTAGACTGTGCAACAGACGATGAGAGAGTGGACCTCCACGAGATGGCGCCTGCACCAAGGCTAAAGCAGTAGCCTGTGGAGGACCTGAGTGTCTCGACGTCATCTACCCAGGAAGCGTCTCTGTGCCGTGTAAGGACCATTGGCATGTGTCCTCCCAGCACTAGCCCCATCCCTGATATACTTGCTAGATAATGCAAAACCCTCTTAGCGGCCGACCAGTGCGGTGGTCGGTGTCTGCGTGTGGCCACAAAGCAAGCTAGGATGCTAAGAGGGTATGCGAGATCTGGACGAGTGCAAGTCATCATGTACATGAGGCAACCCACTAGCTCTGCGTAAGGACCAGTAGGCTCTACTGACTCCCCACTGACTGGAGCCGGAGCCTATGATCTATTAGCAGAGGTGTGGGCTGTGCGGAGGAGAATTGAAGACCGAACCTCTGAAGGACCTAGCGCACCAAGTGTGACTGTGTAAGAGTGATGGTTCACGCTGCTCTGTCTCGGGAGATCTGCAGGCCAAGATAGCGATGCCGCTCTCCTAGGTCAGTGCAGGTTTGTCTCCTCAGCAGCTCGGCCTTCACTGAGGCCAGTGCGTCTCTGTCTGCAGTAACGAAGACCAGGTCGTATACGTAGACTAGGATGTAGAACGGAGTCATGCCTAAGCGAACGAAGAGCGAAGGGTCAGCAACGGACGGGAAGAAGTGAAGGTCTACTAACGTAGCACGCAGCGAGTTGTGCCGCTCACGGGGCGCCTGCCGCAGGGCATAAACCGGGTGCCGGAGGAGCCATTGGGTCCTAGGGGCAAAGGTGACGGTAAAGCTTGGCGTGCGGCGCAAGTAGACATGCTCGTGCAGACTGCCCTGAAGAAATGCTGTAGCGAACTCGAGGGAGTGCAACTCGTTGTCGCGCTGTGCTGTTACGAGTAGCAGCGCCCGAAGGGTGGTCATCTTCGGGGTCGGGGCGAAGGTCTGAAAGATGTCAACACCCTCACGGCCTCTATCATCGTAGTGTGCCTTGAACATCGGCGGCTCTCCAGGAGGGCGCTTTACTTTGATGAGCCACCGGCCATCGACTACGTTCACTCCAGGTGGGGGAACTGCGTCGACGTAGGTGCCGGTGGATCTCTAAGATGCCATCTCCGCGTCCATGGCAGCTATCCACTGAGAGGCCCAGGGTCCGAGGTCACCTCAGCGTACACTTTCTTGTGCACCTTTGGAACGGTTTAGAAAGTCGAAAGCCTCCGATTCCTTCCTGCTTCAGCGACTTCAAGAATCAAGCTGTCGCGGATTTAAGAAGAAAAGCTAATCATCGGAGCTTATCCCAGCAACATACTATTATGGAAGAGCCGGTCAAGTCGGCGATATTCCTCACAGTATTTGTATCATGCCATTTGACTTCATCGTCCCCTTCGAGATATTAAGGCTGAAGCCAACAACGAGCTTCATGCTGCTTGCAAGAACTATCTTGCGAATATCCAAGGGATTATGGTACGAATGAAGAAGAAAGCCGCTGACAAAGCTCTCAATGATGCCAGTGCTGTCAACCACTCGCTTCAAGACAAGCTGTCCAACTACATCGACTTAACCAAGGCCAACGCGCTCGGAGATAAACATCCGAAGCTCATGGAGAATATGAATTTCTACTAGGATAAGATTCTAGCCGATTTTCAGAGTTCGATGTCGATGTACCTTGCAGACGCTCTAATGGCAAGAGTTCACCAGACCGAAAAAACCAAAGAGGTCAATGCTAAGTAGAAAGCAGCTGCGGCTGAAGCTGGGACCCTGTCGGTTGACACTTCGATTCGAGAAATCGTCAAGCAAGAAGCTGACAAGATTTTCACCAAGAAATTTACTCCTCAATGCTCCAAGCCACAGCCGAAGTAGCAGAAGGAATCTTTCACTACTGCTCTGACTAAGAAGCAGAGCAAATCTTCTGTCACTTCCAACAAGCGTCCTCCTAAGACCAACAACGGGCAGCAGCAGAAGCGTTCGATCGACAAGGGAAATAAGCCCGTCGATGGTTCATTTGGAGGGTCTAATGTCGCTTCCTTATCTAAGGC